TTATAGAATGTTTAGACTAATAATTTTTCTCGTAGTACAAAGTGGCCGAAAACTTTTGCACATATAAATATAACAAGTATAACAATAAATTATAAATTATAATAAATTATAAATTATAATAAATAAATATTTTCACGAATATAAACAATATTCTTTCATTATATTATTTCATTTCCTATATCTTGAGCTTACACCTGATAGTGATAAAAATTTCATTAGGCTTTTTTTTGATAAATTAGAGTACAAAATGTCATTGGCCGGAAACTTTTGCACAATACTGTACGTACATACATACATACATACATACATACATACATACATACACACATACACACATACACACATACACACACACACACACACACACACACATACACACATACACACATACACACATACACACATACACACACACATACATACATACATACATACATACATACATACATACATACATACATACATACATACATACATACATACATACATACAAGGTGTTGAAAAAAAAGGATCACATATTTTGATAGCAGGTAGTATTGATCAAAACAAGAAGAAAAGGTCTAATTAACATGAGTCCTAAGACTAATATCTTCTAAGATACAAGCTATTTTGTTATTTGAGCTCTTTGTCATTTTCTTATTAGTTGTGTCATCTTTAGAATGTAATGAACAAAGGAGTAGGGGAGAGTGGAGTCCAATGGGGATATCTTTTTTCTAGGTGCCTTAAAAAATAAAAAATTAACAAAGAGAGATAAAGAAACAATTTTTATTTTAATATGAAATGTAATCATTTGTCTTCCATAAAAAAACTGAAGTAAAGAAACTGAATGTATGATAACAAAATAGAAACTCTTTTTTTACAAAAAACAAAAAATTTTAATGCTGACTCAGCATTAGAGGAGGTGCTCTATGTGATTGCTATTCACTCTCACGCATGTTTCAGCCCTACGCTTAGAGAATCACACACTCTTTCAAATATACCTGGCTGGTCAGATATCCCCATTGTACTCCACTCTCCCCTACTCCTTTGTTCATTACATTCTAAAGATGACACGACTAATAAGAAAATGACATAGAGCTCAAATAACAAAAAAGCTTGTATCTTAGAAGATATTCGTCTTAGGACCCATGTTAATTAGAACTTTTCTTCTTGTTTTGATCAATACTACCTGCTATCAAAATATGTGACCCTTTTTTTCAACACTCTGTATATATATATATATATATATATATATATATATATATATATATATATATATATA